TCCCCTCTGCCATACTGTGGCTTTAAAAACGCATTTGCACTATATATGTAAACTTGCCACAGCGTGTCCAGTCACATGGCACACGAGAGCCAGTTGTATTCAGTAACCTGACACTTTGTGTCTACAAGCGAATTATGAAAATGCAAATATGACAGAATGTACTGTAACAGCTGTAATAGCTTTCTATTGTTAGTGGCCTTGGTTCTGGTATTTTCCTATTCATTTCATTCATTATATATATATATATATTCAACTATGTCTGAAATCTTGAACTTGAAACTTGAATCTGAAGAATATAAAAGTCTAGTAAAACGACATAAGTAAAAGTATGTTTTTTTTAATTTGAAATTAACTATCCACTGAATAATTGTGAATAACGGAACAGTACAATATAAAACTACTGATTTACAGTATATTTATGATAAACATATTTTAAAATATTTTTCCCCCAAAGCCTTTATATATGGGGGAAAAATATGCATACATACATACACACATATGTATATTATTCCTGATGTCTATTATATATTATATAAATAAATAAATTAATAAATATTCAATCAATCAATCAATCAATTAAAACAAAACAAAACAAAACAAATAATTATTCTTTGAACCAATTTTTGTCCTGAATGTGCTTTTTTTATTCCCACTTCTAAAACTCATGTTCTATATTTGTTCTTTCCAAACCCACTTCTACATAAACCCTTGGGAATGAAAAGATGGAGGAAGCAAAGCAGCTGGTGAGAGATGCCATCACCGCAGGCATCTTCTGTGATCTGGGTTCCGGCAGCAATGTAGACCTGTGTGTGATCACAGACAAAACTGTGGATTATCTGAGAGCATATGACCAGCCTGTTCAGAAAGGAATGAGGTGAGATATATAGACTATCATCAGAAATTTTCCATATACACATTGTCCAGGGGTTGGGGGGGGGTGCATTCCAGAAAGCAGAGTCAAATTGCCGTCACATAAACCACAAACTTGTGGTCTTTCTGAAGGCCAATTCACACCACACTGAAAAACACCAGCAAACAAGTTGGCCAACAAAACGCTGACAAACGCTGATTGAACGTTCACTCGGGTGAAAACAAACCCCGACCAATGCCAACAGACGCCGACAGGGTAACACACTGATCAGACAAAACCCAACAAACTTTTGGACGTACTTTTGTAGGCCAACCCTGAAGTTAGCATCACCCTGGTTCCAATTACAAAAACCCAATAGTATTTTTCTATTGGCTTTTGGATTACTGCAGAAAATAAGCTCTGTGACCAACAAAAAATATGATTTTGTCATATGAGCGTCACCATCACTAAACTCCAACAACTCTTTCAGTTTTTTTTAAACATTTTCTCTGAAATTTTGACTTGTAATTGTTTGCAAGAGCGTGATAATAAACACAGTGAGGCTGTGAAAGAAAGTTTTCCTGTTCAGTGTAATATTTAATGTGCATGACAACCTCTAGTCCCATTTAACCACTTGTTAACAACCACCTTTTTCAAGAAAAGTAAAAGCTTTTAAAAAATCACAAAGTGGTATTATTGATATATTTCGTGTCATAGAATACAATTTGAAAATACATAAAGCTTATGTTAACCACAGACCATTTATCAGATATAGATATGTTTTAATAAAATATCTTAAGACTCAACTAAATATTCTCTCTTTCTTCCAATGATCCAGGGAGGGTATGTACAGATACAAGCCAGGTACTACTGCTGTGCTCACAAAAACAGTGACTCCATTAACACTGGATGTTGTGGATGAATCTGTCCAAGTGATGGACACAGAATGAGACATGAAGTACATTCTTTGCTTCACTCATTGGAAAATATGAGGGATACTGTATGTGTGTAGTTTAAAAATTGAGATTAAGGAACGAAAAGAGTATTTTTCCTTTGTGGTTTGAAAATGTTTTGTACCTTTCCCCTGTATTCAGTCATTTGCATTTGAGCTGCTCATATTGAAGAGACCTGACGGATGCTGAATGAGACATTTCCTTACACCTGTCATTAACCTATCAGATAAAAGATATGTGTGTAATTTTACAGTTCATTTAATAAAGTTTAAATTTCTTTAAACTAACTGAGCTAAATATTCATTTGTTGTATGCAATTCGAAATTATACTACTGCTGTAGTTCACATTGATGAATATTAACCAATAAAAGGTTTTATAGTTTCATAACATTTTTATAGCCACATATTTCAACATGATGGGAAATGTCCCATTGTGTTATTCCCAATTTGAAACAACACTTAACCCATTTAATACCATTTTCTCCAGCTACTGTAAGTGAATTCAATTCAAGTTTATTTATTTGTATAGCGCTTTTTACGATACAAATAGTTGCAAAGCCCATTTAATTAGTTATTATAAAGTTATTTATATATTGAAGAAGTTATTATATCTATTATTTTTAAGTTAGTGAAAGCATGAGATTTATTTTTGGTCACAGTTGTTACCAGTGGGAAGCTTAAAATGTCAAGACCCATTATAACATTGCAAACTTTATATTGAAGTATCTAAGGATTCTCAGCAACCTGTGTGTGATAATTTAAGAGAGTGACTCGATCTGTTTTTTCTTTCTTTAAAAAAAAAAATAATTTAATAATATTCAAACATTTAATTACTCCGTTTAGTCATATAATAATTTATAAATGTTATTAACTTTATTTTTGTTAATTTATTAACTTATTTACAGTACCTTCACATTTTCTTATTGTTATTGAATTGAATTGTGTTAGTTCAAGGGATTTTTGTCTTTATAAGTAGAAGATAAGAGATTGTCTTCATTTTAAGGTTTTAAAGTCACGTGCAATGTTGTAAAGCAGCGATTTTGCATTGCCTTTGCTTTGGTATATAATAGCACTTGTTGGATATGTGCTGGTCAGATGAAGAACAGGATGAAGTCCAGGTAGAGTGAGGATGAAGTTCAGACGAAGTCTGAGCATTAAAGCATAGTTTTAAATGCATGCAATTATAAGGGAAAAGGACAATTAATGTATAAAGGATTCAATCAATCACCTAAAAACGAGGCTGTGTGTTTTCCCACTGTTCAAAATTGTGACCACCTATGCTGACATCTCATGTGATCATGATCTTTTAAGTAATCAAGTACCAATAATATACCTTTTAGCTTTAAATCTGTAATCAGTATTTTGATGATGATGAAATGATGAAACTGGAAATAAATAGCTGTTTTGTTGTAATAATGTTACATTATTATGTTTATTAGTAATAATGTTTTGGATGTAATAATGTTAATGAATTCAAGATTTTCATTTACTTTTTCAATTTCATATAACAGACAATTCTGTGTAAAATATAACCAATTTAGACCCTTCAACCGTCAATCTAAAACTTTGTCATGACAGAATGTCAACCTCTGGGATTAAATAACATGCACACAAAAATAAATAAATAAATATATAAAATAAAAATAATCACATAATGAAATATCTCTGCACTTTGAACCAAAGATGACATGATAATATATCAATTTAAACAACAAAGCAAATTTCTATGATTAATAGGGCTGGGTTTTGACACAAATTTCACGATTCGATTCGATTCTCATTCACAAGCTTGCGATTCGATTCGATTACCAATTCGATCCGATTTGATTCAATATCGATTATTTTGGATACATATCAGGTACACATGCCAAATTTTCTCAAGGAAAAAAAATCTCTCAACTAATGCTGTAAAATATACACGAGAGTCAGTTTGTACTACATTACTATAATACTGAAGGTTAAAATTGACTGATTTGTTAAAATTACACTTAATTAAGTTTTTAAAATAATAAAGTTACAATTACATAATAATATTTCTACTTTAATTCGTTTTATTTTTTTTATATAAACGGTGGCTGTCATAAAAACATAAATTAAACATCGAAAAACAGTCAATTTTATAATGAATATGTTATATGGTGCATATATTTAGCAAAATGCCCCTCTCTACAGTTTATTTTTCTATCTGACTAATGAGTTTATGGTCACCGAATATGTTTTTCTGAGGTAAATGTGACATTAATTGACATTGTTTACAAGACGTTATAGGCCTATTGATGTCTTTGCGCGAAGGAAACACTGATTGAGTGATTACATGAGACAGAATACAGATTGTAAAGTTGTACTCTTTCTTTTAACTTACCTTCGGATGTTTAGTCATGTTTATTTTTTATGTGCTGAAACTGGTATTAATGTGGAGATGATCAGTTCACGTCTGTTGAACTGAGGAGCTACAAGCGCGATCTATCACTCCACATTAAACAGCGCCAAAGCGGCATTTATTGTTTGAATACTGCAATACAATGGACAGAATTAGAAATCTGAGACTTTGTTTCATATTAAAAGTACCAACGCACAATGCTTATTGCGATTTATTGGATGGGAAGTGCCCTTCAGTGCTCCGTCCATTAACTGAAAACAGGCTAGATTAATCGATTCTTGGGATTTAAGAATCGATATCGTTCCGAAAAAAATGAGAATCGATTAATATCGAGATATCAATATTTTTTACCCAGCCCTAATGATTAATGTCTACTGTTTTCCATTAAACTGTGGTTCTTCCTCCAGGGGGCTCAGAAAGCCGAATCCTTCACTGAGCCGCATTTTTTGTGTTATTGGAGAAATTGTACGAGTAACTGAAATTGTGTTGTAATCTGATATTTTAAATGTCCTCAAAGGGCCAGAAATCCTCACTAAACATCCTTAGCAAATCTTAAAATATTAGAGACAACTATGATTGGTGCATCTGGTCCAGCGCTGAGAAAAGTAACAAGAACCATATGGATAAGCTTTTTGCAATAGAGCGCACCCATTTCCATCGCTCTTTTATTCTCATTTTATTTCTTTGAAAGGGAGCCATTATATATATATTTTTTCAACTTTATTACTGGTACCTGGTAGTACACACCATAATAAAATAATTGTGCTGTAGCAAACATTCTTTAAAATAAGTAAATAGGGGTGGCCCAATCAAATGTCTCTTCGTGACGTCATGCGTTATGGGCTCCCTCATTGGCCAGGGAACTGTTTTGGCAGCGTGCAGCACTGTTTGAATTCGTGCGTGATCGAAGACCTCAAAACTACGGTATTGGTAAATAATGCGCTGGTTTTCTGAGTTTTGATTGCCTGAAAGTTTTAGACCTCGCGAAATATAGGCCCCGGAATAGAGAGAGAAAGTGTCTGACGTCGCGCAGTCGTTTTGCTTTCGATTTTAATAGTTTTGTAACGTTATGTGAACTGGAGAACACGTTTTCCGATATTTAACGTCAGTGTATAAGAGAGTAATGTTACTGTGATCAGTATCCGTTCACACGCGATTAACAGTTGTTTTTGGTGTGTTGCAGTCTAGCGCTGTTGTTCTGATATTGTGTGGCCATGCGGCGTAATAAATCAGCTCGCAGGCGGAAGCCGTCGACCCCCAGGCGCAGATCTCCTCCAGAGCCGCGGCCAGCACCGTCAACCTCCAGAGCCCGGCGCACCAGCGGACCCTCCGGTAAACCCGCTCACACCGGCATACTTCTCTTAACTGTGTGCGTCATGCATGTGCACTTAATGTTTTTTTTTATTTTTTTATTGAATGCTTGAAAAAACAATAACAATTGTCAAATCATAACAATACAACAACAGTCCAGGGTCATTCAGTCTTTCAGTCCAGAGGAAGTGCCAAGCAAAGCCATGGACCCTTTTCACAAGACTCTGATTTCTGATTTCCGTTTAACGGCATCGTAAATCCTCGAAAGTTTTTCATATTTGTATTTTTTTTTTAATGGGAATGCAAAAAATATTTTTGTGCAACTCTCCCATTCACTGCTCTCGAAGTCAGTGTTGGGGGTAACGCATTACAAGTAACGTGAGTTACGTAATCAGATTACTTTTTTCAAGTAACTAGTAAAGT